CCCGGCCACTTCTCTCCTCGAGAATCCGTACTCTCAATGTCCCTTGCACGCTCTCCACCTCGTGCACAATCTACCAGGGCCTTTGAAACACTATATAAAGTGACGAACTTCCTCGGTGGCGCTGTATTGGCGTTAATACGGGACCACGATCCGGTTCGCTAATAAAACAACCGCCGGGTAACGATCCAAGTGAAAAACGATACACGGTTTTCGAATCGCTCGGTCGACCTCGTGGCTGTCATCCCTCCGCGATCCTTCCTTCGCGTCGAGCGCCGTCCAAGGATGATCCGACTCGAAACACGTGCCGCCTGCTGACGACGATACACATACTCTGTGTAGTCCATAGAACGAGAGATCTACCACCAACGACCAACCTCTGCCATCGCATACCACCAACGGAAGAACATCTGTCCCGTCTACCATGATCTATTCACGCATCGAGCCATTTCGGTAGGTAATTTTCACCGGTACCGGTACACCGGTCACCTTCCCTCGACCAATCGCTTCATCTTCCTTCCACCATTTGGTACACCCCAGGTTAAAGACGCGTCGCGACGCCTGCATCTTTCCACCCGCACACCCTACTTACTTACTAAAGTATGTAATCAACTAGTGAGTTGCTAGCCTCGCCTCCGCCGACTGACCCGAATACCGTCACCCCTTTTTCCTTCCCCCCACTTATCCCCCTCTCTGCCCTTTTTATAAACGCGTCCGACACCAGCAAATTCGAACGCGAGAACAATCCCTCGATCAATCGTCTCGTCGAAAGGACGCTTCCGATCCTTCTTTTACGGTCCAATTATCCAATCGGCGTGTACGCACCAATCAAACAAACTATGAATTGCAGCTAACGAACCAACGAACAACCACAATCAACTTACAATAGCAGGCTAGTCTTTGTTAGATACGTATTTGTACCAGTATGTCCAGTCGTTCTTCTGATTCTCCTTCCACCTCGACAACAGCAAATCTAAGGGAATTTTTCGATCGTTCTACGTCCAATCTGTTCCAGATCTATACGTTCGACGAACATCAAACAGCTCGCACTGTTTTGCTCTCTATTCGGATTTCTCGAGCTGTCCAACGCTTTGCCACGAGGCGCGACCAATTACGAAGGTTCGGTATCACGTTTTCGGTACGAATGTTCACTATTTTTACACCTCTTCTCCTTCAGACATGTCCTTCTGGCTGCGATCCGGTCAAAAGAATCTACTGAGAAATCTGGCTTATCGAAACAACGAGAATCGCGCGAAGAATATTATTATCTTCATCGGAGATGGCATGGGAATATCGACGATCACGGCCGGTCGTATATACAAAGGACAGATGAAGGGTACCGCCGGTGAGGAATACAAATTGGCTTTCGAAAAATTCCCCCTCTTCTACGTAGACGTACAACACCGACAAGCAAGTGCCCGATTCCGCCGGAACAGCCACCGCGATATTTTCCGGCGTGAAGTGTCGTTTCAAGGTTATCGGATTGGACACCAAAGCTTCCTACAATCATTGCGACCAAGGCATCGATCAAGCGAGCAAAGTGACCACGATCGCCGATTGGGCGCAACAGACTGGCATGGACACCGGTAAGTCGTATCGCCTCCTCTCTTCTCACCTTCGTTTTCTATTCTCTCCAAGGAGTTGTCGGTCGGGACGATTACACGTTCGTATGCATTATACTGTAAACTGTAGACTGTAGACTGTAGATAGAAGAGGCACGGTCGTGATACCCTGTTCGCCGTTGTTAAACGTTAAAGCATCAATATCGAATTGACCTTGTCGAAACGAGCGCGAAAACGACACGGCAGAGGAGGTCACGACACGAGAGTCGATCGTCCGCTCTTTATCTAGAGCGTAACGCGTTCTACGCGCGCGCGCAACCAAACGCGAGATCGGTCGAAAGCCAAGGTAAAGAGGACCAAACCGTTAAGGAATGATCCAACAAATAGGATTCGTAACGACCACCCGGATCACGCATGCCACTCCGGCCGGATTGTACGCTCATACCAACAATCGCGATTGGGAATGCGATACCTCGATACCGAACCGATACAAAGGTTGCGTAAAGGATATAGCCAGACAACTGATCGAAGACGCCCCAGGAAACAACTTTCAGGTATATCCTCCTCCTCCTTACCTACCTCTCTACATACACCTATTTACGTACATATGTACGTATACCGCTCGTTGAACGGTCAGGTGATGATGGGTGGCGGAGCGCAACACTTGGGCTTACCAATAGAACCGATAGACAACGATACGTGCGTCAGGGGGGACGGGACAAACTTGGCGGAAGTATGGGCGAGAAATAATCCCGAGGGAAAGGTAGTAACTAACGCGGATCAACTTTTCTCTATCGATATCGCCAACACGTCCAAACTGCTCGGAGTTTTCGCCGCTAGTCATCTTCCTTATCACGCTCTCAAGACGGATCGAACACCCAGTTTAGCCAACATGACCACGCAAGCGATTCGATTGCTTCGAAAGAATAACAACGGCTTCTTCTTAATGGTAAGTAACCATTTAAGAAAAATACTCACTCGACACCGTTCCAATCCGTTACAATATCCAGGTAGAGAGTGGGAAAATCGACATAGCCCACCATCATAATTATGCAAAGTTAGCGTTGCGAGAATTGTCCGAGCTGGAAGACGCGATATTGGCTGCTCTGCAACAAGTCAAGCTTGAAGAAACCCTGATGATCGTAACTGCTGATCACTCGCATTCGTTCACCATGAATGGTTATCCGGGCAGAGGGAACGATATTCTTGGTTTCGCCAACAATCCAACCGTGCCAAACGACGCAGAGTTCTACGAAACGCTTAGTTACGCCAACGGGCCAGGTTTCCTCCACCACAGGCGAAACGACAGTAACAACGTGAACGAAACGTGGAATCCCGTCGACCAAGACCAGACCCGCGGTCAACCGTTCTACACCCATATGGCTGGCATGTACTTGAAAGACGAAACACACGGAGGCGAAGACGTCGGTGTCTATGCGATAGGTATACCTTTACATTTGCATATGTATTTATCCATCCACGCCCAATTCAATAAACTCACTCTCTCTCTCTCTCTTTCAGGTCCGTACTCCCATTTGATTCGTGGTACATTTGAACAAAATTACATCGCTCACGTAGTAGCGTATGCGGCCTGCTTCAAAGACTGGCCTTCTCACTGCGACAACGTTCACAATCGCTACTTCTACGAGCTGACCAACTCCGTCGATCGATCAACCGCTTCTACTCCATCCGCTCTTCTCCTCTCCCTTTTCACGCTTGTGCTTCTTTTGACTCTCCTACAGAACAATTAATCCTCTTCTCCCTTCATTTCCAAAACGGTACAAAAACCAGAAACGGTGTACAGTATGGTACAGTATGGTACAGTGTGATAATGTCAACTGTT